TATATAACAAACTGGGAGTATTTTGCTCTAGAATGTGCAGGTAATGAGAGTAGCTTCGTCGTTTTTCCTGTTTGGCATTAGCGAGGTTAATGAGGTAGTCCTGACTGAAAGTCATATCTGGAAATCTGATTAAAAAATGCGTTTATTTATGCCTAGGTGAATGAAAAATACGCCACATGATTTGCAGGCAGGGATTTGTTTTATCATTAGCGTCGGTATTGTTAAAAGCTTTCGTACGTGAATGTTTGAGGTCATGTGAAAGTCTGGATTTGATGTAGAAGCTTCATGACATATGAGAGAACTAACGTCCGTAGTGCACTCGTCTAACAGTAAGGTTGTTCATAATAAGTGACCACTAAACTTTGTCTTCTTTTTTACAGATGTTTGAATCCGAGATCTGCCCTCATCTACGAGCTTCCACCAGTAGGAGGTGAGTCGAGCAAGCAAGAGTTCACATACACAAAGTTAAACTCGTTTGTTAAGTAATGGCCGCAGTCAACAGGTTAAAATATTTGCGACGCTGTGCCGTGCCTCATGCAATAAGCTTAAGTAGAAAGAATAGTTAGACACTGTTGGGAAATATGCCTAGTGTGATCCCAGGAAAAGGGAATGACTCGTGCAATAAAGTGAGCATGACACAAGTAAACGTCTGGCGAGCATGAAGGTTTGTGTGTATAAAAGTTAGGGTCAACGAGACACCTGGGAGTCGGCCGGGCCCTGTAATGAGGTCGAGGAGAGCGAGGGAAGAGCCACTGAGAGAAAGGGAGAGGGAGAGGGAGTGCGAGGGAAGAGCTACTGAGAGAAAGGGAGAGGGAGAGGGGGAGCGAGGGAAGAGCCACTGAGAGAAAGGGAGAGGGAGAGGGAGAGCGAGGGAAGAGCCACTGAGAGAAAGGGAGAGGGAGAGGGAGAGCGAGGGAAGAGCCACTGAGAGAAAGGGGGAGGGAGAGGGGGAGCGAGGGAAGAGCCACTGAGAGAAAGGGAGAGGGAGAGGGAGAGCGAGGGAAGAGCCACTGAGAGAAAGGAAGAGGGAGAGGGGGAGCGAGGGAAGAGCCACTGAGAGAAAGGGAGAGGGAGAGGGGGGAGCGAGGGAAGAGCCACTGAGAGAAAAGGAGAGGGAGAGGGAGAGCGAAAGGGAGAGGGAGAGGGAGAGCGAGGGAAGAGCCACTGAGAGAAAGGGAGAGGGAAAGGGAGAGGGAGAGGGAGAGGGAGATGGAGAGCGAGGGAAGAGCCACTGAGAAAAAGGGAGAGGGAGAGGAAGAGCGAAAGGGAGAGGGAGAGGGAGAGCGAGGGAAGAGCCACTGAGAGAAAGGGAGAGGGAGAGGGAGAGCGAAGGAGGAGGAGGGGGAGGAGAAGAAGAAGGAGGAGGAGAAGGAGAAGAAGGAGAAAGAGGAGAAGGAGAAGAAGAAGGAGACGGAGATGAAGGAGAAGTAGAAGGAGGAAGAGGAAGAAATAAAGGGAGATAAGGGAGTGAGAGTAAAAGGAGGAGGGAGAGAAGGGAACAGATGGACAGTTAGAAAAATAGGGAGAGGGAGAGGGAGAAGGGTAGGAGGAGAGAAACAGTAGACGGAAGGAGAAGAGCCACTGACAGAAAGGGAGAGGGGGAGGGAGAGGGAAAAGGAAGAGGGAGTGGGAAAGGATAGGGAGAATGAGAATGGGAATGAGAGGGAGAGTGAGAGGAAGAGGAAGAGATAGTGGGAGAGGGGGAGGAAGTGGAAGAGGGATAGGGAGAGGGAGAGAAAGAGACGAGGTAAAGGATGCAGGATAAGGAGGGAAGGAGAGGAAAGATGAGGGGATTGTAGTTAGAGGGGGGGAGAGGGAGGGGGAAAGGAAGGACAGGAAATGGGAGAAAGGAGTGGACGGATGGGAACTGGGGGAGAAGAGGGGAAGGGGAAGGGGAGGGGGGAAAGGGTGAGAGGGAGAGGGAGAGAGTGGGGAGAAAGAGGAAGAAAGGAAGTGAGAAAGGCAAAGGATAAGGGAAAGGGAGAAGAGAAAGAGTAGGGGAGACGGAGGAAAGGAGGGCGCGGGAAAGAGAAATGAATACATTACACAGAGTCTCTCTCTCTCTCTCTCTCTCTCTCTCTCTCTCTCCTCTCTCTCTCTTCTCTCTCTCTCTCTCTCTCTCTCTCTCTCTCTCTCTCTCTTCTCTCTCTCTCTCTCTCTCTCTCTCTCTCTCTCTCTCTCTCTCTCTCTCTCTCTCTCTCTCTCTCTCTCTCTCTCTCTCTCTCCCTCCCTCCCTCCCTCCCTCCCTCCCTCCCTCCCTCCCTCCCTATCTCTCCTCTCTATCTCCTCCCTATCTCCCCTTTCCCTTTCCCTTTCCTTTTCCCTTTCCCCTTCCTCTCTCTTTTCCCTCTCCCTCTTTCTTTCTTCTCTCTCTCCCTCTTCCTTCTCCTCTCTCTCCTCTCTCCCTCTCTCCCTCTCTCCCTTTTCCTTTCCCTTTCCCTTCCCTTCCCCTTCCCCTTCTCTTCCCTCTCCCTTTTCTTTTCCCTTTCCCTTTTCCCTC